TATGATCCAAGGTAATGCATATGATATTGCAGTTCATATGCAATATCATATGCATTATGATATGATATTGCATATGAACTGCAATATCATATTGCAGTTCATATGGTTGCTGTATTGCAAGAAAACGCTTATGTAGAACCCGGATTGGGTGTATTTGTCATTGGTGCAGGAATGCATTTAACATTGCTTCAAGAATTGGCCCTCGTGGATTCCAACGTGTCCGATCCTACCAAATCGTCCTATGCTGTGTCAGTTCAGAAATATGCAAAAGAATATGCGGCTTTTTATGGATAGAACGTACGACTCAATAGTAAAGAAACGCACGAATGATGCCACTATACCGAAGTAAAAATCAAGTCAAAGACTATTCTACCGCCACCAGAATATCATAATACACCCGGCATTGAGGTTTGTTCCAAAATAGACCGACCAATTTCTCGGCAAAACCTACAAAGATTCAACCATCTTAGAGCATACACATACGTCGTAGGCAAGCGTGACCAATGTTGAGATGGAAAATAGGAGTAAAAAGAAACGAAGCGACTACATTCAACAGGTAAAAAAAGATCTTGTTAAGAGTCTACATGATCCAATAGGCGTTGCCATCCTATGGCGAAGATTGGAGAAGCAGCCAATTCCTCCGCAATCCCCTCAACAACATTAACAACTAAGAAGCAATATGTTTAAGATTACGTAATGTCCAGAACATTTGGAAAACTCTTGTCCAAGTTGTCATTAATCTATATCTTAGTTTTAAATCTTAGTTTTATTTTTTAATTAGATATATCTTAGTTTTAAATATAGATGCTGCTATTTAAGTTATCTCTATTTAAAAATAAGATATCTCAATTTAAAACTAAGATATCTCTAATTAAAACTAAGATATCTATTTATAATAGAGATATCTCTATAGTTTTCAATAGAGATGTCTTTGTTTAGAGATATTTTAGTTTTAAATCATAGTTTAATTAGAGGTATCTTAGATTTAAATAGATATATCTTTGTTATTAAACATATCTCTATTTAAAACTATGATACAGTAATTTTAATACCATAACATTTAATGTATTTTAGATTTAAATGATGCTGTGCATTCACAAGAATTGTGAATGCACAAAAAAATAAAAAATAAATAAAAACAGTACACACCTAAAATACAAATCATAGGCACGTCCATTCGGTTTCATACGCTTAGATCTGATTCACGCGTGTGCATTTCATATTTTTATAAATCACCGGAATTTGTTCTTTCTTTTTTTTTTTGTGACAAAAACGCCGGAGTTATAAACATAAGGTGCCAATGAGTTGGATGGCAAAATGCCTATGTGGTAAAAGGCCGAGTGGCAATTTGTCTTAAATGGCAGAAGAGGTCGGGGTGGCAAATGGCCGGGTGACAGCGGGCCTGAGTGGTAAAAGGTAAGGTATCAAAGGCCGAGTGGCTACGGGCCCCGTGGGAAAATACCGTGTGGCAGTGGGCCTAGGCTTATTGAGAACTACGAACTACGTGTGATCATAACATGTTCTGTAACGCTGACTTGAACATGAACTAATATAAATAACTTTGTAAAAAATAATTTTGGATATACAGAAAAACAAATGGTGCACAAGAAAAACCATGTACACATTAAATAAAGCAGTTGACAGTGACAATGAAGATAAACACGTCTATTGATATTGACAAAGGATCAGGCCTTATTGTAAGGATCAGAGATTCGAAAGTAAATATACCATGGCTGTATTAAGTTATTGTATCATATTCATAAGACATTACGTTCACAAATAGAAATAAAATTAGTGAAACTACAGCATTAAATACTGATGAGATATAAGATACAATTCAACTTTATTGTAAAAAAATAAATTCTGAGATATGTTTTGTACATAACATATAATCGTTTATAAATGTGATAAATATCAATTAAAAATTCTCTAGTAAATAAAAATTGGAGTTTATGTAGTTATCTTCTTAAATTTTGATTAAATAAATTTGTGATTAAATAAACTACAAGCAATGCACAATGCTGAATGTCTGAAACGGTTTGTGGATATTTTGTGTTGTTTAAGTCTAACCCTTCCGGTTAATTTACGATAATATCTGAGTATAATGATGGGATGAGTCTTGCATAATTAAATTAAATTTCTTGAGTATAATTTTCTAAGATATCTTCTAAGGATTTCACATTGGCTCCAATCACTCTGTCAGCCTTGTTAACAATTCTCGATAGTTTACCCTTGCTATCTTCGGTGATATGAGAAAACAAAATAATAATACAATAAGAAAGGATTGACTGGACAACTGAGGAATAAAACAAATGAATAAGATGAGAGTTAACATTAAACCGTTTCAATCTATATACAAAATACATTCGTTTATTTACCTTAGTACAGAGTTTTTAGTGTTGTTTTCCCAGTTAAGTTCATTATCAATATTCAATCCCAGGTACTTATGTCTTTCAACAATTTCCACATTCTCATTATCGATTACAACATTTTCGTGAATATTTTTATTTTTCCTTCTGAAGTCGACAATACCTTCAGTAGTATATATTTAACGGAAAGAAATGTCGATCAAATACGAAGTGGCCTAATCAAGAGTGTTTAAGAGGGTGATACTCTTAATTGTATGTGAAGTTGAAAATGAAACTGACATTGTTAAGGAAGCTTTGAGTCTTGTAAACCACTGAAAAGCTTCAGATGAGGATGGTATTACCAATGAGCTCTTGAAATGACGGTAATGTTATCTATCATGCTCTAGTACAACTTTTCCAGAGAAACACCTTGAAGTAATTTCAAAAGAATGGAATATGTGTATAATAGTACCTGTTTTTAAACAACGGGGTGAAAAGAATTTAAGCAACTGCTGAGGAATATCTCTAAAATTATTAGGAATATTGTTTTTTTTTTAAATCCTGATTGTTGTGAAGTAATGTATTCATGGTGTTAGCCAATGTAAATTATTTTCGACGATGTATAAAAACTAAACAACATTAAAAAGGTATTGGTCATTATATTCATATTTTCAAATCGGCATTAAATTTGTGGTCAAATTCACACTGAGACCATGAATGGTAGAGTATGTTAGCCTAAAAGAGAGAAACAATTCTTTGCATGATCTACTTTGGGGCAAGATATTTTGTCTTCGCCTATGACAAAGAGGTTTACCCATGACAAAGCGGTACACTGCCAAGATTGCCGTGGGAGATGGGGTATGTGGGTGTGTAAAAATAAACCAAGGGGATCGGAATCACGGTAGGCAAGGGGCTCGATTCGTGCTTGACAGCTTGTAGGGACGAATTGCAAATTTAGGGGGTGTTTGTGGGATTTTGGTCTACTTGTTTTTTTCGGCAATTATAGAAAAGGTTACGTATCGTTATGGCTTTTATGGGACAGTATATGAAACACTACACCATTGCAGATATATGTAAACTGCAATACATTATTCAGCATCAGAAGAGCCTTCCAACGATACCAAACAAGACTACTTTTGGTGAGTTTATATGCTTATTCTTATTTTATGCAGAATTTAAGTATATTTTGCGGATATAAACACCTAAATATAAACAAATAAACACCTAACAAATAAACACCTAAATATAAACAAATAAACACCTATTTTTGAATTATGTTCCGTTCTGGCATGAGTGACAGTAGATTTTATATGTCTGGTTTGTTGCCTGTATAGAAATTATGAGTTAATGGTTAATGGTTATTAATTTATAGAGCGCAAAATACAAAATAGCTTATTTTTATATGCACATTTTACATACATTTGGCGACCATTTTGAAAAATGACAGCCATTTGTATACAAGGTGAAAAATCAAATGTCAACAGGGCTTAGGGTTACCAGGATCATATAGGATATCTGACTATGGTGAATGCTTCTAACATTCCACTCCCCCAAACTTGATTTTTAGGCCTCTTTTTTGCTTTTTTCCTAGTCTATTCTTAATACAAGCTTGGATTTCATCTCTAACTTTTTTCCATCTGCTGTCATTCTTCTTATAAATACTTTGTCTTTTTACAATTAGAGTTTTAATTTGTGGCGTAATTCAGGACTTATCTTCAATGTGGCATTTTACGGATTTGCGAGGAAAATATTTTTCAATTGCGTAGTTTAGTGTTTTGTAAAAAGCGTTACATTTGCCTTGAGTGTTTTTCCCAGATTTGACTTCTATCCATTCATGTTTTGTTATCCAATGCCCAAAATGTTGGATGGATCCAATATATCGATTTACAACATAGTTGAAATTGCAGCACATATGTATGGTTTATTGAAAAAAAGGATGAATATTAATTTTAATAATAAATAATAATAATAATAATGAATAATAATAATAATTTTGATAATTTTGTCTAAAAATGCCGTTCCTCTTTTAGGTAACTTGAAAACCGGCTTAAAGGGGCTAGTGAGAAACAAGATATTCAAACGGTTGAAATCGCCAGAAATTATTATTCCAGCTTCCGAATAGTGTGATGTAGGCGTAATTGTCGGTTTCTGTCCTTCAGGTTTAACTGGTATAATGTTGTTGTACTTCAAACGGAGCCTATGTTTTACATATGTATAAGATTTGGAATACTTGTTGTTGCTGATATGCACCGGAATATTCCTTATTTTCCTACTTCCAGAATCAACATCCGCGCCTAGTTATAGTAATGCAGATTATTAACTCAACAATCTTTTTTCCAAACGTGAGGTTACAGGCGGAGTTTCTTGTTTCCAACAAAAATACCGACTGGTTAAAATGGCGCCTGATATTATGCAGTTCCTCATTTAAATACGACCGCACCTATTCAAAAGCGCGACGTGCGGCCTCTCCAAGGCGTGTATGAGTGAGATTGGTCTCAGCCTAGCTCCGGGCTTATCAAAAAACACGAAGAAACACTAAAATCGAACAATAGTGCAAAAGTGATAATCCATGCAGGTTCATAAAACATCAACATCTCAAATTACGATATCAAAAAGGGAAGCACTTCATCAAAAAACCACAGGAACACGAAATTAAATGAAACTATTTAATTAACCAAACTCTATTGAAGATACTAAAAATTATTTGCATGCATACGTTTTTAAATTTCTACACAGCTGTACTATCCTGTACAACCAATTTTATCTTAAAATTGTTTGCTTGCAAAATTATGTAACTCGTACATGACTACATTTCTACACAACCATTATCATCATTAACACAAATGCTTATGTCTTTTTTATATCCCTGTGATTATGATGTTATTATTTGATATGATGTTTTTTTTCAACAGTACAAATATTGTTTACTGATTAAACAATCGAAACTCAGGATAGATTTTTTTATTATAATTTGTATTATTCCTATAATTACATTACCCTATTGTTATTAACATTATGATCATATTTATCATTATAATGTTTATCATTATAATTATCATTATTTTTATGGTAAAATTAAAGTCGGGTAAAGGGAGAACGGGTCACAGCAAAGACCATAGTTTTGTACTCTTACATTAACCCTTTATAAAATATAAGATAGTATCATCATTAATAATTTAATCATTCAAAGTATGTAATAGCTAATCGTCTGCTGGCTGCACCAAGTTGTAAAATCGACAAACATATCGCGGGTATTTGAATGACTGTATCTACAACCCAATTAAAAACGCCTTTTGCTGTTTCCCACAATTTTACCCAGGTATCTTTATCTTTCCACAAAACTTTGACTGTATTGTCAACATCTCTAAAGATAGTAAATTTATTAGCTTCATTACCAGTAAACAATTTGTAAAACGAATCTTTTAAAGCAATGGATACAACAGCATTTTTAAGAACGTTACTATCTGCTTTACAGATCAACAATTTGAGAGCTTTAAAAAATTCTTCGTTATTGTCTTCTGCAATAGCCCCTGGTAACTCATAAACATCTTGAAGCGTCATATCGTTTCCAAGATTTACCAATCTGACTCTCTGCAAATATAAACGGAACGTTATTATAACGTAAACGACATTTTATTTTGCCTTGACTTTGATTTACCTATCCCTGTTATGTTGTCACTTATTTATCTCAGAAAGTTAAATTCATGTCAAGTTTTAACAATGACCATACGAGTAGTCAAATATACATCGGAATTTAATTGCGGTGTTACTAAAGTCTTATACGTATCTGATTATTTATTACCATGTGTAGTTAGTCAATTTTTGGAGTGAATGCGCCCGCCAACATGCACTTCGATTTTAGAGTTTTCGCATACAGTACGCAAAAACTCCGAAAGCGGAACGATTAAAAGTTTTGTTCTCTCTGTATAGGGAGCTTTATAAAAAGTTTCGAATACAAAACTCCCGAAATTAGAATGTTTGCACTGCACGCAGAAACTTCGATCTTGGAGTTTTCGCCCATACTGTAGTACGCTAAAACTAAATAATCGAAGAGTTGGCGGTGGGCGTAGACAATCCAATGTCGGATTAAATTCTTATCTTTCTTAAATTTCTTTATTTTTTATGTTAATATATAATAATGGGGCAGCTGATTATCCTTGAGCTATAATACAATTATGCTTACGCTGCTCCTGACCAAAATGTGCTGTATTTTACCTTTTGTAAATGTTATTACCGTTACATAGTATTATATTATGTATATTTCAAAACCCACGAGATGAATATTATTTATTTCATTTTTCATTTAATTTTCAATTAGAAGTAATTCATTGAGCGTGATTTTACAACATAAGAATACAATTTAATCAGTCCAGACTAAGTTGTCTTTGAATGAAGATTTATTATTTGGACTTTTCTATTTCATTAGAGGGTAACATTTTATAGCATTTGAATACGTTTGAAAGACGCTGTAATGACACTAGGTCTAGATATTTATCATTTACATTTAATTAACTTAAATAAAAATAATTAAATCCATGTTTTAAACTTCCCAACATTAACATTTCTGAATAGACCGGCTACAGACACTGGACAGTTTGCATTTTTAATTACCTGTTCTACGACAAAACCAAACATACTTTTATAACCTTAAACTTACATTCATCGAACAACTTTCAAAAAATTTATCACTGTATTATTTAAGGATTGATATGAAATACGTAAAAAAAAATGCTTAAATTTAAGCATATACGCGAAACTTCAAGACCGGCTTCGCTAAATCTCGTAGAAAGCTATGCGCATGATCGGCCTTGACGTGCTATGTTGAGTCATGAAGGAATTAGTTTAGATTTAAAGTAATTCCTCCATGGTTGAATT